ATATAAATTTATATATATATTATAATTTAAGAAAATTACTTAATTTACACCAGGTGTATATATATACATACTAATTTATTGATTTACGAATTTGTTTAATATATAAATTGTAAATGAAAAATTAGTATAGTTTAAGGTTAGGGTGAGGGTAGCTTTAAGGTTAGAGAAGGTTATAGTTTATACTAAAATTTTGCAAGGAATCTTTTTTGTTAGAACCCCAAAGTGGGTTTTATAATCAAAATTTCAAGATATCAATATATGTGTGTATATACACCTGGTGTACAAATAGTAATCGTTATAATTTAAATACAATATAATATTTTTAGTTATATAATATATAATTATATATTTAAACTTTATTTTTTTTGGTTTAAATTGCTTTTGATCTTATATATTTATATTCTGAATTAGCAGTAGTAAGCTTTAAATTAATAGGTTAGGTAAGCTCTAATTAACTTTAACTAACAGGTAGGTTGCTATAACAAACAGGTAGGTTAACTATAACTAATAGATAGGTTGGTATGAGTAGTTTTTAAACTAACGAGTGGGTTGTTGGATGGTTTAATCTAGCAAGACTCTAAACTAATAAGCAAGTTTTAAAATAATCAGTAGATGTATCTTGAAGTATCGGGTAATTAAATTTCATAGTAGTAGGTAGATTAAATAGTTTCAAATAAGTTCTAGATAATACTGCAGATTTAGAATCGTGAGTGGTTTATACTTATGAGTAAATTTTAACTTCTAAATTGCAAATAGTAGAAACAGTAATAAAGCACCAGACAGTACAATATACTGATATATAGTCTGTATGTATAGATGTATTTTACAAAAAAACTTTACATTTACAAATTGGGATTTTTATTAAGTAATTTGTGTCACAATTATTTAGTAAATATAGATCATTTTCTCTGATTAACTCATAGATTATCAATTAAGTAAATTGATTTTGTATATTAAATAAAAATGTTCTTCTAATCAAAATAATCTAGTTTCATAGAACCAAATTAGCAATTGTCTTAATAAAATTTTGAGTAAATAGCCTCTAAAACTATAACTCTTTAAAAAGTAAAGTGTATATAGATTATTTTTTATATAATCTGCATAGTATATTAGATTTTTATATAGTAAAAAAAATACTTCTGATAAATCTTTTTAACATTTTAATTAATTTTTATCAAATTTAAATAGTATGTAGTTTAAACTAGTTTGTTTATATTAATGAAGTTTTGGGATATATATTGCTTTAAAAAAATAAACTTCATATATGATCAAAGTTTTTGGGATCACTATATATTTTTTTGAAGTTACACAAAAAATCAATAATTCTGATTGGTCAAATCATATAATATTTACATATAAATGATATAATATTATATAAAATTAGTTACACAATGTTGATCTACAATTTATTTTATATGAAATTAGAAATTTGTATACCCTATTCTTAAATTTTAGCTATTTATAAAAATCTTCAATTTTTTTAAAATTTATTAAATAAATCAATTTTGTATATTAAATATGATGACTGATGTTGAAGTTTGGCTGATGTTGAAGCTAAAAAATCTGATTGGTTAGGGTTAGGGTGATCTGCAAAATTTAGCCAATCAGATTTTTTAGTTTCAACATCAGCCAAACTTCAGCATCAGCCGTAACATTAAATAAAAAATGTTTTTTTAATCAAAATAGCCCTAGTTTCATAAAACTAAATTAGTGATTGTCTTAATAAAATTTTAAGAAAATAGTCTCTAAAACTATAATTCTTCAAATTTTAGCTATTTATAAAAATCTTCGATTTTCTTAAAATTTTATTAATTGGTGATTCGCCAGTCAACCAGTGAGAGGTCATAGTATAATATAATATAGTTTACATATAGAAATTAAGGTTTTGTAAATGTGGGCTGCATCATTCTAAAACTTTTTTTATATTAAGTTAACTACCTTTGGGCTTCTAATTGAAGTTGTAGAACTTGTTGAGATGAATCTAATGATAGTTAAATCATCAAAATTGGCTTTGTGGATCATGAGATATCTTTGAAAAATGTTTTGCTAATTATGTAAAATTCTTTTTATTGTTAAAAAAAAATTTTACATAGTTGACGAAATGTTTTTTGAAGATATCTTGTAATCTACAAAGCTAATCTTGATGATTTAACTACTATTAGATTCATCTCAATGAGTTCTACAACTTTAATTAAAAGCCCAAAGGTAGTTAACTTAGTATAAAAAAGTTTTAAAATGATGCAGTCTATATTCGCAAAATTCTAATTTCTATATGTAAACTGCATCACATTACACTATGACCTCTTACTGGTTAATTGGCGAATCACCAATTAATAGAAAAAAATTTTAAACAAAAGCTTTAAAATTTTATTACTCAAAAATTTATAATAATTTTAAAATACTTCTATAATAAAGTTTGTAAAATATATTCTTATAAATACTGTATATTCTATGAAAAAAATATACTCTATATTTTAATAAATTATTGTTTTATTTAAAAAATACCAAATACAATTAAAGTTTCTAGACAAATTTGCCTAGAATATAGTTTAAAGAATATCTTTTAATCTGTAGATCATTTCTAAACAAATTTGTCTAGAAAATTTTTACTATTTGTATTGTAATACTAAACTATTCTAACTTTTAGAATTGTGGTTGAAATTGTTATTTGTATTATAATCTAGTTTTGCACAAGTCACAGACATTATTATTTTAGTACTTATCTTGTCTAACACTTGCAATATCATGATCATCTAGTATATATACATATATGTATATATGTTCATTAATACTAATTTATGAGAAGAATCTAACCAATTATTTAATAATAAAATTTTCTAGCAAATTTGCCTAGAAAACAGTTTATGATTTTTTTTTAAAAAAGTTGATATAAATGTTTAAGATCAACAATCCTAAATTAGCATTAATTTAATAGTAACAAAACTAATTTAAGATTATCGATCTTAAATATTTATAGAATTTTTTACAAAAAATAAACACTCTACTATTTTTCAGACAAATTTGCCTAGAAATTTTATTATTAAATAATTGGTCAGGTTCTTCTGGCTCTAGAAAATCATGTGTTAAAGGCTTTTACTTATTATAATTTGGTATTACAATAATATTTATTAAATAATTTAAAAATTCTAGGCCAATTTGTCTGAAAAACAGTTTAAGAGATAATATATTATAAATAACTAATTAAAATAATTACACTAACTCTAACATTCTAACTTTAACTATATAATAATAGAGGTATTACTAATCTAAAGATGCAATAAATTATATTTATTACACAGATACAATACACATTGTATGGTACAAAAAATTATAAATTCTTTATTTATTGTCCAAAACATAACTCTATTGTTTGAGTAAACTTGAATGCATGTTCATGCAATATTAGTCAGATACAATTAATAAAAATTGAGATTTGACAGAATCCATGATGATCTATAGTTAGTACAACTATGCATATTCGCTTTGGACTTACATCAGATTCTGATTTCCTAGTAAATAATTTATTTTTTAAAAAAATTACTATTTGTATATGGTGTGTTTAAACATAAAAACTAATTTGTAAATTTATATAATATGCCAATTAAAACAACTTTTATAAACAAAAAATTAAACTTCTACTTCAGGTTAGAATAAGCATATATATAGGATTTGTAAAGGTATCAAAATTTCACAAAAAATTTTTTTTGTTAAAATTCAAAAGATGGTTTTATTAGTAATATTTTGAAAAAAACAATAATTTTACATAACACCTGATCATACAATCTGATTGGCTCTCTATATTAACTGTATACAAATAGAAATGCTTATTTTTTTAAATACATTATAACTTTTCAAAATTTTTTTAAAAAAACAAAATAAATACAATATGCAGTATATGTAACTTCAATCATTGCAATAAAATTCAAACAAATAACAATAAAAGCTATTTGTAATATTCAAACATCGCACCCAAGATTAAAGTAAATTTGCTCTCCAATTCTTTAACGACTTTATTCGTCATAGATAAATAATCGTGAAAAAATTTATCTATGAAAAAGTGCTTTTATAAGAATTGTGATTATTAGCGTTGTAAAGAAATTGTTATTAATGAGTCGAAGTTATAATGGTGACGTGACCCTGGAAAATTATGGGACACAATATTATCGGTAAACCGACATAGTACGGAGGACTCTCGGTACGATACTTCTACATTTCGGCTATTCCTTTTTCGACAAATTTGAACTACGGTACAACATGCTAAACGCGCGCTGTATACCTGCCCCGATTTTATTGTTATGATATTTGCATATATTGAATCTATAACAAACACTCTTTCGATTCGTGGCTTGTAATTTAACTTCTAATTTTTTCATAAACATTTATTTATTTTGAATGCATAGATTCATTTTTTTGCCCTTTTTGAAAAACATCATATAGTACGGCATTAATAAACGAACACTTGCATTAAAAATTACGCACTGTGAAGTTGTGAACCCAAATTTTATTTCGTTACAATTTTTTACATATTACAAGTTGCTTCAAAAATTATTTCTAAAAATATCCGTAATAAATTGGGGTGAAAAAGAATACTTGTAAAAAAAACAAGGTTTGTATAGCTTTTGTTGACAAAGGATTCTACTTACAAGCCAGGTAAAAAAATTTTTTTTAAATATGACTCACAAGTGAATATAGCTAATAGGTTCAACTAATCGCTATAATTGAATTTGGTCTGAACATTTTCACTATTTTGATTAGTTTTGTGAGGAATCCCTTTCCGTTGGTGGAAAAAACATTTCGTTCTCTTTCTTTAATTGCAGTTCTATTTATCAACATTAACTTCATTAAGTTCCGCCCCTTTAACCTTACAACATTTAGCCCGACTTTTAATTTTACATGATAGAGCTTTAAAGCATTTCTCGAATATTTTCAATCGTCAAATTTCTTTAGGCGCTTTATTTATTTGTAACGAGCTGGAGTTATTAAGTTACACTCAAGGAACAATGGGTCCTAAACCCATTAATTCTAAACCAGTAGGTCAGACTATAAGTAAATACGTAAGTTATCTTCTAAATAATTTTTATTTTAAAAGAAATTGTTTTTATAAATCATTTTCAATTAATTCATTTGACTAAATTTAGCAATTAGGCGAATGTCTTGGAAAAGGTGCTGTTAGTTCGGTATATAGAGCTTTGAATTGGGAGACTGGAGAGGCTGTTGCCGTTAAACAGATTAAGCTTAGCAGTATACCGAAATCAGAACTAACATTTATAATGGTAAGCTTTATCTTTAAAACAAAAGTAACGAGAAATTTATTATTAATCAAAAAAAAAAAAATACATTTTTTATATTTGAATTTATGAAGACCGAAATTGAATTGCTAAAAAACCTTAATGTAAGTCTTTCAATTTTGTAACGTTTTGATTTATGTAGACTTTTCGTTAATTTTATGTATTTTTAATCAAATAGCACCCGAATATCGTAAAATATAAAGATTATGTCAAATCAAAGGAACATTTGAATATCATATTAGAGTAAGTTGTAATGATAGGCTTTTATCTATATATATTTTTTACATGTTTATATCATTGTAATAGCAGATGTATATTTAAAATACTTTAGATTTTGCGAAAATGGATCTCTACATAATATTTGCAGAAAATTCGGAAAGTTTCCTGAAAATCTCGTCGCTGTATATATTAAACAAGTTTTGGAAGGTTTACGTTACTTACATGATCAAGGTGTTATACATAGAGATATTAAAGGTGCAAACATCTTAGCAACTAAGGAAGGTTTTGTGAAACTTGCAGATTTTGGAGTTGCAACGACGAAAAGTGATTCGAATGTTGTTGGTTCACCGTATTGGATGGCTCCTGAAATAATTGAATTATCAGGAGCAACTACATCTTCAGATATTTGGAGTGTAGGGTGTGTTGTTGTTGAACTTTTGGAGGGAAAACCTCCTTATCATCATCTTGATCCTATGCCCGCTCTTTTTCGAATAGTTCAGGATGAACATCCTCCGCTACCAGAAACCGCGTCACCCGTTGTTAAGGACTTTCTTATGCAATGCTTTCAAAAGGATAGTAATCTTAGAGTTTCGGCTAGAAAATTACTTAAACATCCTTGGATAGTTAGCATTCAAAAAAAGAGTGGTGATACTTTAAAACAACCAAAATTACCAACGGAATATGCGGAAGCTGTAAAAAGTGTACAAGAATGGAATGAAGCTTTAAAAGGTGCAAAATTTAAGCCTTCGTCACCATCTCATCGACGCAGAAGAAGTGAATCTTTAAGATTGACAGCTACTATGCCGACAAAATTATCAAAACATCAATTTCATCAAAATTCACCTTTTGGCAACGGTAATTCACCCTCAATGACCGAACTTCCGCCAAAAATGCCAGATCTTACTCCGCAAGTCGAGAATAGTGATCTGGTAAATTTAATGCCGTTTAATAATTCTTCAGATTTGATTACACCATCTGCAACATCATCAAGCCAACAACCTAATCGTCTTTCAGTAACTATTGAGCCTGAAGACGAAGGAGATAATTGGGACGCTGATTTTGTGGATTCGATACCTTTTGCAAAAATTGCAGATATACAGAGTAAACAATTGAATCACAAGTCATCTGATGAGGATAATGCACAAACTATTCGGCCTGGTCGATTTAAAAGCGGACGAGATAAGAGTAAAAAATCAACGGTATCTCGTGATGATAAAGGTAATAAACTGCATGAAAAAACCCCCTTAGATAATAAGGAGGACAATTTTCAAAAGAAAGTATCATCAAATAATAAAGTCAATAAACATCAAGAAAAGATCCTTCGTGAAAACAAACAACAGGAAATAGCTCGAGATAAGAATGAACCAGAGAAAGAGAAGATTGAGAGAATTGCAGATGCTATAGTTGAGGACAAATCTGAAGAAAAGGACAATTGCTGGGAATCCATGCAAGATACGGTTTTTCGTATAAAATCAAAAAATTCGGACAATTCAAATAACACGGAATACACCAAAGTGTCGCTTGCCAAACCACCGCTTGTTTCGTCGGTTGCAAAATCCATAGAAACATCAAAAAATAATAAAACAATAACAGAAAATCCAGCAATAAAATCGATAATTAAACATCATACTCGTGCGCATAGTGCCAATTCTATACCAAGTCCAATTAGTTCCTCTCAGAACGGTACAAATGTCATGGGTAGTAAACAACTTCCACCATTACCGACACACAAATCCACATCGTCCACGGTATCTGCGACAGCCACTAGTTTACCATCAAGAAGAACTGCCTTGTCTCAAATCGAAATGTCTCCAAAACAGCAAGCCTTTAATAGAGTGGCTGTAACTCCACTTCCAATGTTGTCTCCCGAAGAAGATTCACAAAATTCAAGTGAAATTCAACAATATTATGAATCTGATGATGATGATGATTATAATAAAGCATTTGGAGAAGATGAAGAGGATGGTTTTAGTAATACGTTGAAATTAAATACATTACTTTCAAGTAATAGCTGGTTTGGGAACGATATGAGCGATGAAGATGATCCATTCGCAGAGATGGAGGAAAATTTTGAAGAAATGGATATAAATGCACATATTGCCATGGATAAGTATGCGCGCGCTTGTTCGCGATTAGAAGAGTTAATTAATGCTTTACAACCTAATGAAAGCGAGGATCGATTGGTAATCTCATGTGTTCAAATAATTGATTTATTGACGGAACATAAAGAGCTTAAAAACCACTTTATCATCTTTCATGGTGTAATTCCAATCATAGAAATGCTGGAAATATGTTCATACGCAAGCGTTCTTTCAAGATTACTCAAAATAGTCAATATAATTATTGCAAGTAATATTAATCTTCAAGAAAACCTCTGTCTTGTGGGTGGAATACCTGTTATTATGAACTTTACTTCGAAGCGATACCCTTATGAAATTCGTGTTGAAGCTGCCATATTTATACGTCAGATCTGTCATACATCACCTGTTATTCTTCAAATGTTTATTTCTTGTCGAGGTTTAAAAGTTCTTGTCGAATTTTTGCAAGAAGATTATAACGAACACAAGGAATTAGTATGGATAGCAGTGAATGGAATATATGGAGTATTTGAACTTCAGAGTCCAACTCCGAAAAATGATTTTTGTAGACTATTGGCGAAAAATGGACTATTGGATCCATTAGCTATCATGCTTCATCATGTAATTTTGGATAAGGATCCAGCTGCTGGTGTGTATGTAGAAAGAATTGTTAATATATTGTTAATGTTCTCACAGGGTGATGCATATGTTAAAGAAGTCATGGCAACACGAACAAGGATTGTCACTAGAATATTTGATAGTTTAGACAAATTGCCACAAAACCTTGCTGTAGCTATGCTTAAATGTATAAAGAATATTTCAATGAATTCAAATACTTTGGAAGCTTTACAGAGAGCAAAAGCAATACAAGTTCTTACTACAATATTAGATAATCAAGGACCACCTTATGTGACTGAAATTTCTAACCAAGTACTTAACACAATGTTTAATCTTTGTCGAATCAATAAATCACGGCAAGAAGAAGCTGCAAAGGCTGGAATTATTCCTCATTTGCAATATTTTGCATCTAATAAAACACCTCTTAAACAGTTTGCATTACCAATACTTTGTGATATGGCTCATACTGGACAAGGTTGTAGAGATTTGTTATGGAAACATAATATTTTACAACTTTATCTTGATTTGTTAGTTGACCCTTTTTATCAGGTGAATGCTTTAGAAGCGATTCTTGCATGGATTCAAGATGAAACATCTAAAGTTGAATCAGTACTTCTTTTACCAAAAAGTATTGAACTTATCTTGGAGGCGTTCATTATGGCCAAGGCGAATTCATTTGAAAATATCCTAGAACCATTGCATATAATTACTCAGTTATCAACATCTGTCGCCTTTGCACTTGCGCAACCAAGATTCTTTAAGCGTTTATTACATCGACTTGGACATCCAAAACCAGTTGTAAGATTAAATTTATTAAGAATATTAAGATCTATATGCGATGTACACCCACAGCGTGAAGCTATAGCTGAACGATATGGATTATTTGAGATCACTTCTCGTATGAGTAGGGAGGATCCTGCTGTATTGATACGAGAGCTTGCCAGAGAGATTTTATCCCAGGGATACTTTTCTACTTCAATAACAAAGAAAAAATCTAATAATGAAATAGCAATTAATCAAAAAGAACCTATAATAGCAGAAGAGACTGATGCAAATGTTAGTGACGTAGAAGATAATAGTGCCCGAGATGACATCTCATTACAAGAAGACATCAGTTGACTCGGGGCGGTTCAGGTGGATCAATTCCATCTGAACCACAAGCGTAATAACACACAAGCATCTATTAATGGATCTCGAAGACGTGCATTATCATCACCCCCATCATCATATACGCCATCTACCTTAATATCAACTACACAACGTCCGTTATCAGTGACCTCGTTATCACCATCTCTTGTATCATATCAACAAGAAAGAAAATCAAGCGCATCATCATCACAATCAATCAAAACTCCACCATCATCAGTTACATCAATGTCGTCTTCACAAAAGAAACATCGAATGTCTTGGTCATCACAAATACCGGTGCCGGAAGCCACTGATGCTGAATGTTCAACTACTGAAGCATCAACAAACACACCCAATGAAAACGGGACAAGACTTCAGCAAATAAGTTCAACTTCAAACGTATCTACGGCATCGTTGGATTCAGCATTACCATTTCCATATCAGCATATAAGAAAACGTGATAGCTCTAGAAAAATTAGGGCATTGTCACATAATCGAAGTTATAATAATCAAAACATTAATTCAATTGCGGAACATTACCAAAATCGTGATAGTTATTCTACTGTAAATTTAAGTTCGAGCGGCATGAACAGAAATGTAAGTGAGGCAGGAAGCGTGAACGGATCAACTAACAGTTCCTTATCTAAGTCTTCACATCCTGGTGGTGTGTTAGGTTGGTTGAAAAGGAGGGTTAGTAAGGATCACAGTTCGTTGGGAAAATCCGGAAAAACAAAAAGTATTAAGAAAGCGAACTCGAAAAGTAAATTACAGGAGTCAATTATTGTCCTTAGTGATGAAAAGAGCGAGGAAAAATAATTAAAAAGAAAAAAAAATATGATGATTTAAGATTGAAATCACTCCTTTTGAAAAAATCAAGATCTTAACATCTAAAAAAAAAAAGAAAAGAAAAAAAAAACTTTATTTATTTATACTTTTTGCAAAAAAAAAAAAAAGCAAATTTCACTTTTTTTTTTTTTTGCATTTAATTGCATACACATATTCATTCAGCATTTTGTTGAGACGTTGTATTTAGCAGGTTTATGTGTTAACAATAGTTGTATTTAGGAGTATGTTTGTTTAATACTTGTGCGTTGATAATAATTTTTAATAATAAACAAGTAAAATAATGAAAATAATATATTTTTTAAAAATGAATAAATTACTTGTAATCACTAGATATTGTAACCAGTATATACAGTATATAGTTATAATAACTTTTATATCTAAATTTAACAAAGGCAAAAACTTATAAGAGAGTGAACTATATATAACCACTCTTGTAACCAGTGCTACGTATGTAACCTCTATTTTAATTAAGAGCTATTATACGCTTATGTATATACGTACGTGGTCAAAATCTGACAAACAGAATCCCGACAAACAACAATCACAACAAAAATTGACCAGAATTACAGCTAATGCTAACTTAGTGCGGACTAACTTGACTTTGTCGGGAGTCTGTTTGTCGAATTTTACTGGCTCTCACTCCTTAAACACGTGATACTGGTTACCAGTGGTTAGTTTTTATTATTATTATTATTATTAATAAATAAAAGGAGTTAAAAATTATTTTATACTGTAATTGTTTATTTAGCTATTAGTTAGTTGCTTTTTAAGGGAATTAGCTAACCTTCTTTAGAAATTTAAGGGAATCGGCTAACCTCCTTTAGAAATAGAAGGTTTCACAAAAATAAAACGATTGTATTAAGTATTCTATACTTAGCGCACGTTCAGAGCTGCGTTGCTCAGGCTATCGCTATGCACTCAAATTTTTTTCGTTTGTCGACAGGTGTTGATTATATATCAAAAAAACCCTTTGATCCAAAAATAAATTACTATGGAATTATTAAAAATAATCAATAATACCGATAATTAGCGTTAATGATTTATTATACGTATGTTAAAGATCTTCGCTCAATGTCAATACGTAGTTTTGGTGCATTTAATTCTTTTTACGTCTAAAGTAATGTTATATCCAAACTATTTTTTATAAGTTTGGTATAACTATCACCAACCAATATCTCCTTCTTAGCTGCAATAACATACTGGCCATCTACAACCAGAGCATACCTTATTGGGATTATATCAATTCTCTTAATTGCTTCACAAAATAGCAAAATAACTATATATACACCTCATAAACCAACCATAAAATATGTTAGTTCAGTTATGCAATACTTACACAACCTTAATATTCTTATCCAAAAACACAATTACTGGTCTCTCAAGCAACTTATTCAGATTCTTATTGTACGAAAAAACTTAATTATACAGTTTACTCTTATAGATAACAGAGCAAACCATCTATTTTTTCAAAAAACAATGCAATTAGCCATACCTTCACAGCAGCACAGAATTCAGCTCATATCACATGTACTAGACAACAGTAATTTTTATTTGACATGGAACAATATACCAGTGGAACATAAAACCCGCTGATTTATATGATATTTGCAAAATGCAAGAAATACTACCAAGTGGTATTTACTTAATAGAACAAACAGCTGGCAGGAGATTTGGCAGAATACAAACTGAGACAACACCCACCAATTTATTAACTATGATAATAAACTATACACAAAATTTATACACCCAAAATTATCACAGAAAAAGAACTTCAAAATTAAATTCTTATTAGATGAGTTGCTAACACTACTCAATTTACATTACTGATACCCAAAAAAATATACAAATCCAACATGTAACAGATGTACCCAGACAATTGAGGACAACATCTACTGGTTAGTCTGCTCAATGAACCTAACATCTTCACGTTAACTAATAATGAAAACTGTCATAAAATATTGCTCAAAATAAAACAATCAGCTACTAGACTTTGCAACACTAGTACAAAGTTTCTTCATAAATGGTACAGACACATCTAATTCCCCATTACTAAAAGGATTAATTCTAGAGAATATCCAGACTATTACATTAATCCACAATAAAACATTCATTAAAATCTTACACAAGATATCAACTAATATATATAAACAAATATAGCTTGAATGCTGTAAAGATATACACCAGAACAGACCCCTTACTGATATATTTACTGCTATAACCTTACCTCACCCTTCTATACAGCATATTAGTACAACTAAATATAACAAATGAGAAACATTGTTTCTTACAACTAATATATCTTTATCATATATAGCTAAACTAAATCTAGTAGAAGTCAAGTAGCTCAATTTAGTAAAACTTTGGGCCAAAGATAAATTAGTCCTAGCTGTAGGTCCTTGTAATAATTCATATAATCCATTTAAACAATATAATACATAATTATTCAATAAAAATCAAGACCAGACCTCACTCTTAAAAAAAAAAAAA